ATGTGTATCATGTACATGGCATGTTTGTGTCATAATAATCAAATCTAAAAAAATCCTTGTAATTTTTAAATTTATGTTTGAACATTGAATTAAGATGCTTGATTTCAACTATACTAGTTCAAAAGAAACAAACCTTGAAATCAATAGAATTAATAACTGGAAAGATGAAAATTTCATTTATAAGGGAACATACATATTCATTAAATGTTAACAAACTAAAAGAACTTTCTACACACCATTTTTTGAATATTCTGAATATGTATATATATATATATATACATATATATATATATATATATATATAAAAACATACATATACACATGACACCTGGATGAAATTAATGTGTGTGTGTGTGTGTGTGTGTGTGAAAATCAACATTTTAAAAGAGATTCAATATGCCTTTACAGAACTTTGATTTGGAACTTTCTTCTAGGCAGAAGTCACTTTCTGAAGGTTTACATGTGTACCAATCAAAAGCGCAACACTTGGCCATCTTCTCATTACATAGTACTCAAAAAAACTAAAGTATGAAAAAAGTGATTATTTGTTTGTTAAATATTAAACACCACAATACAGCGTAATTTGACTCTGTTTATATGAATGCAATCACAACCATACTCCTTCATTATCCCCTTTACCTTTCAAACCATTACTTTTTTCCATTCTCTTTTTTCTATTGTTTTTTCCATCAGCAGTATGAGCATTTTAGAGAACCCAGCATGTCATCAACTCATGATTTAGGGTTAAACTTTGAACACGAACTTGGAGTCACATCATGTTGCTGCCATGTCAGCCGCACAATGTGCTGACAAAAGCAACCCACTTGAGTCTTCTAATATATATATATATATATATATATGTATATTTTGTTGTACTGAGCCGTGTGATTTGGGGTTTGTACTCTAGTTTTTGCCAAGTCAAAGCCCACAAAATGCACAACAACCTACATGACCTTCGCGGAAGTAAAACAGCTTTGAGGCTTCTTTGGTCAACCTTGGTCGCCATTTGAATTGCAAATCAGGGACGTGCTGGTTGAGCCATTAAAATCAGTTCTCAGAAATCCCCCCCTGCAAATGAAATGCGGCCACATAGGACGCGCCACGCTGGCATTTATCCTTTTCTGCTGCTGAGGTGGCTGCCTTGTTGTGCTATTTATGTGGCTGGTCATGAGATGCCAACACTTGTCATTTTGTCACGTTCGTCATGACTTGCCTTTGTCTGTTTTTGATTTAAAGGCCAAAACTGACAGTTGTCATGACTCACTCGCCCACAACCCTAGTGAGCTAAATAAAGCACCTCTGGCAAGCAATATATATATATAGTTACTTTCTAATCCTAGATTCTGAACAACAACAACAACATTCCTCTTTCTTGTGTATCTCTTTGGTACCACACTCACACACATATATATATATATATATACATGCATACAAAGGAGAAGAAGAAACACAGGCATTTGTATACATTCATAGATTATATATTCTGTATATATATATGAATGAATAGAATATATAATATATATACATATATATTATATATTCTATACATTCATGTATATATACAGATATAAACATATATATTATATATATGTATATGCAAAGGAGAAGAAGAAAGTGAGACAATTGTGGTGGTAGAGTGAGAATATGCACCCAAGTGCAGTGAAAAGGTTTCAATAGTGTGGAGAGTGTTAGTTAGTGAGAGAGGCAGAGGGGGGGGGACCCATTTTGCTATTTAACCTCAGAGATGGACAGACTTTTTAATGGGTTTTTTGTTGTTTTGTGTAGGCCAGGTGGATTGCTTAGGTGCAAGCCATCTTTTGTACAAATCATTCTCTCTGTGATTTGATACTGCCCAATTGATGAGTGCCATCTCACAACAACACTCTCCAATGATTTTCAGCCTCAACAATACTTGTGCACTTGGTGTGTACTTGTGCATGTATAATGAATGAATGAATATATATATATATATATATATATATATTTAAATAAATAAATAAGGTTCTCTGATGCCTTAAATTCCTATGGTATGAATGATGTTTTAGTCAAAAGGATTAATTGTCCCAACATCCATCATTTTGTTCCTCTTCTTATTCCTGTGTTTTCTTTACTTTGCGTATATACTTTTTGTTTTGTTTTGAATGAATGAATAAATGAATGAAACTAAGTTGAGATGTAATCAGATACTGTTAGATGCATTCAGTTCTCCAATACCAGAAATCACCACTATTTGCTCAGCTGGAATAAAGGTTTTTTGTACTCTGTTAGTGTTAAACATAAGTTTGATTATACTATATTTTGTGCCTTGCCTTGCAATGTCTTTGTCAGTTGAGCTGCATTTAGTTGTTGGCCAAGACCTTGCAGTGCTGCTGCAACAACACAAGCATGCACACAAGTATACACACACAAGTATAACTGGGACTTTGTTGAGGTGTCATCACTGAACTCGTCGGTGCTGTGGAAATACTGGACCTTAATGTGCTGTCAGCTAGCAGCAACCTGATAGAGACTTCATGCTCATCCTCTTTACTGTGTGCTCCTCAATATCTACAAATATATATATATATATATATATATATATACTCTTATTTAATAGAGCTAAATCTTATCGGTAAAGTCCTGTGTTTGTGTCAAAAACAAAGAGTAAATTTAGATGCAGCCAACCAGAACCACATTTCTCCTTTAATCAATATTATGGTTTTTCCACACCAACCAATTCAAACGACTCTCATAGTAACAACAATAAGGGTACTCACAGTGTAACAATTTGTGCTTATTTATTTGCCAGGGTGGTCCATGAAGTAAACATCTATCTACACAATAGTATATTAAAACATAGAAATAGAAACATAACTGATTGTAAGCATCATTTGTGAGAGTGAATGTGAATCATGTTTTGGCAGGAATGTGCTACATTGTTTGTTTTTAATACAAACATGGCAACCACTCAGTAAAGTAGATCCTCTCTTTCTGTCTGTCTGTCTGTCTCTGCACATGAATGACAGCTCCTCAGCATCATCATCCAGTCTTTTCACCAAAAACTTGGATTGTGACAAAGGCTGTTTCCCTGTACCCTCAAACACATATCTATGACATTGCCTGCTAAACAGAAGCAGAAGAAGCTTGAGAGGAAAGACAAGCCATAAGGTTCATGAAGATCCCACACAAGAGGGCACTTACACAAACAATGAGTAAGTAGCCTCATCCACATCCATTTTCTGGGTCTCAAATCCTTTCGTCAAGCTTTTTTACTCATGTCTCCAGAGACCCCCCACATTTCATCATGTGCCCCATATATATATATATATATATATATATATAATTCTTTGATTCCATACTGCTTGTAAACAGCATTTTTCATAATCTGATATGAGGTATAACATGGTTTACACTGATCTCGTGTAAAAAAGGATACATGACAGTACATACATACATACATAAATAAATACATACATACATATGTGAATGTGTGTGTGTATGTGTGTTTTAATGAGTTCCCCTGCTTCCCTATTTTTAGGTCTGTTAGAATCTCCAGCCCAAATGTCAACACATTCAAGTTGCAGATTTGAGTCTTCTATAGTACATTGGTCCTTGCACAGAAGTGTTGAAAAAATAAAAAATAAAAACAAGCCTGGTGGCTTGTAAGGCCTGCAAAATCTTCTTAGCAAGATACTCCTGCCTCGTTTGGGGGTTTGCCCACTACCACCACCCCCACCACAACACAGACCCATGCTTATCATAATCCTCAAATTTTGCAAATTTCTAAAAACAATACAAAACACAAAAAACTAATGCAAAAATTGTTTTAAAAAACAATGCAATTTTAGCCTGTATCTTTTTTATGTGTAGTTTTGACTATTCTTGAAGAGGGCAGGTATTATGACAAACTACTCACCACGCACATTTCAAAAAACAACATGTGATCAATACACTTTAAAACTATCCACACCCATAATGAAAACGTATCATCCTTGGCAAGTATTTGTGAGAAGACTTGTTCACTCTTTTTGTGGTATTTTCCAGTGTGTCATTCAAGAGATGGGGTTCTTCCTCATGTGTATTTTTGGGGCTCTGAAGTACCAATGGATGTGGCTTAGGGCGGTGTATTCATCAATTGCATTTGTTGAGGATAAAGTGAATATATTGAACTCAGCACCCAATGTTTTTGGACAAGCAGGTATTTGGGAAGGAGCACTGTTTGTGTCCTAATGGGATGCTTCTTTCAGTTGGGTGGGTTTTTTCTTTATAGTTGACCAAGGGATGGATGAAACAAGGTGATCGTGCAGGATAAGACAGTGCCATGGAAAGGGGCTCTGAAATTGTCACAAAGTGGGGTCCATTAAAGATGCCATTCTATGTTATGAAATGGACTCATCCAATCAAACTATGTCATGTGCATGCAGAGCCTAATAACAAAAAGTGATTCCCCATGAATTCCAAATTGGTCCTGTCATTCAAATCCACTGGGAGTCATTTTGTACATTGAAAAGGACAATTGGATTGCTAGAAAAACTAACAACAAACAGAATTAAATAACTACTTGAAGTAGAGAGAGACCCCACACCAGAAAGCTTCCCACAACCAATTTGTCAGCAAAGGTGAGATCACAAACTGGAAGTCTACTTTTAGTGGACCAAGTTTGAATTTATCATGAGGCATGCTGTTTAGTGCTTCAATCAGTGACAAGCTCAGCTCTCATGTAATAATATCACAACAATTACAATAATAACAATAGTAGTCGTAATAACAATGAAAGTTTTAAAACTAATGTGGAGGGGGTTTTCGGAATGCTTTTGGTGGGATGAATGAGAAGGATTCACAAACGTGCCACGAGAGTGTTTGTGTAATTTTGTTTTGTTTTGTTTTTTTTTTTTTTTTACCACGGAGGGGAGCATAAAAGCAAAGCTTCATGTGGGGGTGAGGCAATGGAAAGCACAGGAAGATTTACGAATCGGAAAACGTTTTGTTAAGCAAATCGCAGACTACGACCTTAGTGGAAGTTAGCCTCTCTATTTTGGGAAGCGGAAACGCGCGCTGGAATGGCGTGGCGGATCAACGGGAGCCGGAGTCTAATCAGTAAGGCGAGAAGGCGCTGCTGCTTCCGGATCGGAACTGTGCGCGGGAGTGGGACTTTAGAACGGCCCAAGCAGCAAAAAGCAGAGACGATAACTCGAAGCCACGGGATCAACAGGGACACAGACTGAAGAGGGAGAAGCAGAAGAAGTGCAAGAAGAAGAAGTCGACGAGGAGGAGGAGGAGAAAGGAGAAGCAGAGGAGAGCATCATCGAGGAGCACCATTCGTCGTGAAGAAGCCATAGCCTGCACTGCAGAAGCGCAGCAGGATCAGCAGCAGCAGCAGCCAGCAGAGGAGGAGGAGGAACGAGCCACTTGTTGGGAGGTTGGTTGGTTGCTTGGCCGCTTTGACCGCTTCCTCAGCGTCGTCATCGTCGTCGTCGTCGTCGTCGTTGAGTCTTGGGCTCTGTTACCACCTCTGCCTTCCCTTCTTCTTCATCTCCCCCCCCCCCCCTCCAGCGTTGGATACTTGTAAGTAGAAACGCTGCGACCTGCTTGTGGTATTGTCACTTCCCACGCCATAACCACAACAACAACATCATCATCATTATCATGCCCCCCTGCCCCCGATCCTAACCCCCGCACTCGCTCGCTCGCTCATTCACTCACTCACTCCCATACCATCCATTGCATCCCCCTTGCTTCCCTCCCTCCTGGGAAGCGTCAACATTTCCCATCCCTCGCGTGCGGAGTTACTGGGCTTCCCCTGCCCTCCTCCTTCCCACCCTGCCCCACCTCGCTCTCATTGCCTCTGTGTTCATGATCTGCATTAGTTGGATCGTCTGTGGGTACTGGCCAAAGTGCAGTTTTTGCCCCTCGTGTGATGCGCCGGATCGGCCCATCGGAGGTATGATGGAGCCGTAGTGGTGATTGATCGCGCGCGTGCTGGTTTGGTGAACGGAGTTTCTGAGGAGCGGGGGATGGGGGGGGGGTATGTTGTGGTTTTGAGGCAGTTCTTGAGTTGCAATTTGTGGCCCTCTTCTTTTTGTTTGTTTGTTATCTTCTTTGTGTTTGTGCGTGTGTTCATTCGTTCTGGCCGTAGGGGAAGTGTTGTGGGGGTGCTGGAGAGTTATGAATATCGTGATTGAAGTCGTCTATCGTCATAGAATGTCGTCTTTCAACTGATCCGTAAGATCGTTGAGAGCTTACCCACTATGTTTCTTGTGAGAGCTCTTGTACCTGCTTAGCTTGATTAATGTTATTATTATTTTATTATCCTCTTCTTCTTTCCTGTGTGTTCGCGCGCTGATAACCTGACATCGTGAAGCGTTATTGCTTTCAGACATGTCTTCTTCTTCTCATTCTTTTTCTTCTTATTTGTTCAGCTTCGTTCGTATCGATTGATATTTCTACATTTTGTTTTTATATTATTATTATGATTTTTTGCTTCAAAGAGAATCTATGCAAGCGTTGACCTGACCTGTGAGGATTTGATGCATGCAGTCTCCATCTAGAGCTTCGTACGTAAAGCTTAGACAGAGGTCGTTTGTAGATTAAAGATCCGTGTTGTTCTGGCTCACTTGGGGGTAATTGGGTCAGATGTCTGCCAGAAGTTTGCTTGTTAACTATTTTTTAATCCAGATGCAACTGTTAACACCAGGATGCATATCTGGTTCACCGTTGTTGATCTGTTTAGGTTTCTATGGCGTCAATATGCATTTTCTTCCGCCTTGCGTGGAATCTTTCTCCCTAAAAAGTTGTTCAAGTTCTTTGAGTGCAGTTATTGTTGACCTGGCGCCGCAGAGGTCGGTGTGTCTACCTATTAGGTTGTGAGTTCTTAGCATGGAAGTTTTGCTGGAGGTATATCGCTCAAAAGTATAGGAACTAGTGCTGGTGCGAATCAGAGGCCTATACTTTCCATTCATGTAAGGGGTGCTTACATACTCGGTTTCGCAGTGCAGGATTCTATTTACAAGATTCGTGACCAAGTCTAGAAGAAATGCAGGTAGCAGCGGCACCTTTCACGTCAGCTACATGGACCATTAGGAGGCCCGTTGGAACTGATAATGCTGCACGGAGGTTGAATCCTCAGAGCTCAGTCGGACAAGTTAAAGCAACTGCCCGATGTTTCACTCCATTGAAGCACTCAGCAGCCTCTTCGGAGCTTCTGGGGATGGGTTTAGAAGCAGGGTTCGGCCCTGCTCGCATTCAGAAGCGGGCTACATCTTCCGTGCGCGCCCAAGCTGCTGGTATCGTCTGTTCTCCTTTTTTGACGTTTGCAGTTATATCAGTTTTGCTCTAGCCGATTGGGTGGGGTTTGTGATGGACACTCTCCAATTTCTGTCTTTGTGAATAGTTCGACTCTTAGCTCTTGTTGTCGATCTGTTATTACCTACCTGCCAATTAAATGCCGTAATGGGTAGCTGATCGAGCTCTGCTGTTGATTCTTATTGTCACGCTGGTTGTGAAGGATGTACTATTGTTACACGGACACAATTGCTGACATGATCGTCATACCTGTTCTGTTTGACAGATGGAGAAGCCTCGGGGGATGTTGCCACTAGACAATCTAATCCTGCTACCACTGGAATGGTCTTGCCTGCAGTTGGTATTGCCTGCCTTGGGGCAATCTTGTTTGGTTACCATCTCGGGTATTTTCTTATACGTGGCCATTTCTATTGTTGCTTGTCGAAGCTGTAATGTCGAATATGTCGATTTAGATGGTTGCGGTTTTGTTTAACTTATCTCGAAAACTTTACCTTCTACAAAACTGAATGAATAGAGAAATTTAAGTCACGATAAACCAATACATATCTCGTAGAACCTTGAGGCTCGAATCCGGTGTCGGGCATCCTAAGGAAGCATTGCCGGTTGTGCAGGGTGGTTAATGGTGCATTGGAGTACATTTCTAAGGATCTAGGGTTTGCCACGGATGCTGTAAAACAAGGTGCCACTCATTGCCTGTACTGAACGTGAATTCGAAAGTTTCGGTTATGAATTAGTCGATTGGATTGCCTTCTAGGTCTCTTATTGTGCTCTTGTTTACATGTGTATTTGTATTTTTTATAACGCATTAATCACTACCTGGATTAACATGCCCTTGTGCAGAAGCTTTTTCCTGGTCTTTAATGTTATGGTGTGAAACTGAGGTAGGTTTGTGATGAATTGATCGACTAAGACATGATGTGATGGATTTCATTCAGGATGGGTGGTAAGCTCAACTCTAGCTGGTGCCACTGTGGGTTCCTTTACTGGAGGCGCCCTTGCTGACAACTTAGGTCGCAAGCGTACATTCCAGATTAACGCCGTGCCTCTTATTGTGGGCACTCTTCTCAGGTTTGTTATCATTCTATTTTTTTATGTTATTTCATATCTCAGGTTTAGGATTTCTTGTAGTTGTGATAATTTTTTTGTTAGAAGTTGCCATAATTGACATCTTGTTGATGTGTGCCGAACGCATTTCTTCAGTGTGTTCAGAGTGGTTAGACATTGTCGAATTGTTGTATCGATTTATCTCCTCACCGCCATGTTCTTAGCAATGGCCGCTCGGCTTTAAATCAGTCTGCTGTGTGAGAGCTGTAGTTTAGACCTTTTTCTGCCAGGTTCTCAGTTTGTTCTGTGAATTTGCGCTGAGCAGTGCAAAAGCAACCAGTTTCGAGGCTATGGTGATTGGAAGAATTTTGGTTGGTGTTGGGATTGGAGTTTCATCTGGTGTTGTGCCTCTATACATTTCGGAGGTAATTCGAAGTGCATTACCATAAGGTCGTCAGTTACAAGACCAACAGTTTCAATAGAAATGAGTTTATGATCTCTGTCATGCACTAAATCATGTATCTCTTCAAATATCATGTTTCTGCAATGCAAAATACTCCTTCTGTACGCCGTAGTTTGTTATGAATAACACAACGACGTTGAGGTTCGCAGCTTTTGATTTACGAGGAAACCTCTGTTCTTGGGTGGCTCTGTTGTGTAACTGATTTCAATGTGTTCAACCAAGCGAATGGCGCTCAGGAACCTAGATTACCTGCAAGTCTGATAAGATAGACTTCATATTCATCTAGTTAGAGCTTTACTTTATGTCATGCATTAACTATGCCGCGTAAAATAATTGTAAGATTGATTCTGTGATCAATACAGGTCTCGCCCACAGAGATTCGAGGTACCATGGGGACATTGAATCAGCTCTTTATTTGCGTGGGTATCCTGTTAGCTCTGATTGCTGGCCTTCCTTTGGGCAGTAACCCTGTCTGGTAAGCAAGTCAAAGGTCGAATCAGATCTACGTCGCCTTTTTTCTTGTTCCTGCAAGTATAATGCCCACTATGATCTTGTAAAGAGCGTCCTAAGCTGTAGCCTCTGTAGTCCTCTTACAAGTCCTTCGAGTAGATCAACAATCATTTCTACAAGGACAATGTTTTTGTGAGCTACCATGCACCACACCGCATGCTATCACCTTCATCCTGTCAATACTGTTGTACGCTTGTTATTCTTAACATTTTAGCTAATGTAATTGACAACTGTAAGGTGTCATAGTATGTCTTTTATCCGTAATGACTTTGGTGGTATGAAATGTGAAAGGTGCCCACCTGAACAACCTGGTTTGTCTTTGATTTCCAGGTGGCGCACCATGTTTGCCTTAGCTACAGTTCCTGCCGTTTTGCTGGGTTTAGGCATGGCGTACTGTCCGGAGAGTCCACGCTGGCTATACAAGGTTAGTTATGCTTTTATCATCTACTTTGGTTTTTGTTGCTGAAGTGGATGCTGTGAGTGACCGCACAAATTAGTAACACTCTTTAGAGAAGAATTGTCCATGACGTACACGTATAACTTTATTTCTGTTCTTTCGGTTAAATTCAGATTTTTTTTCATTTTCTCTTTTGGGTCTTCGTAGAGAAAGTGTCCGACGATTTTCTTGTTATAAGGGTGTTGAGAAATTGGAAGTATGCAGCATTACCAGGGTTACTTTTTGAATGGTCTTCTTAATCTTAAAGTGCCGGATCTACGGATGTGTGGACGCTGCATTGCATATGTTGACATATTGCTGAATATAAAAAGGTTCTGTATGCAGAATGGTAAGACCGCAGAGGCGGAAACCGCAGTAAGGAGACTTTGGGGCAAGGCAAAGGTCGAGAGTTCAATGGCAGATTTGAAGGCTAGCAGCGTGGAAACAGTGAAAGGTGACACTCAAGATGCAAGTTGGGGCGAGCTATTTGGCAAAAGATACCGTAAAGGTATATCATCCGGCATTTTTTTCGTCACTGAATCTTTTGCGTTGTTTCGGACCCTGATGGTCAGGAATAGTTGCCATGTATGGTTTGGTACAAGGTGCAGCATCGTTCCTACCTTCTGCTCAGCCAATGGCTTTGGTATATCTTACCTTCGGAACTGATGTTCCAAGTCGTATTTTCAACTCAGTGTTGGTCATTAACAGGACTTTGATCCTGTGGTTTATGTGAACAGTTGTCACGGTTGGAATGGCGCTCTTCCTTTTCCAACAATTTGCCGGAATCAATGCTGTGGTATACTTCTCTACTCAGGTTTTCAGGAGTGCTGGCATCACGAATGATGTAGCTGCCAGTGCTCTTGTAGGTGCTGCAAATGTGGCAGGTACGGAACAGATTTGCTTAATCCTCACCCAGTTTTTTCAGGCGTGAGTAGAGTTACAGTACGTGCAGCAGGATCTATAAGCAGATACTTCTGTCTGGATCACTTGTAAGAGTTGAATACATGTCATTTGACTACTGAGGGGAAATACTTTTCCTGTGTAGGTACCACTGTGGCGTCCGGCATGATGGATAAGCAAGGGCGTAAGAGCCTGCTAATGGGCAGCTTCGCTGGCATGGTGAGAAGTCTTGTCACCACACGTTGTGTTTTTGCGTTAGTATGGTGTTCTCCCAGCTCAGTACAGTAGCGACCTGCAATCTATTTTATGTTCATGGATTTTTCTAAGACTTGTACTTCATTTTTTTTCCGACAATTTGTTGTGTATATTTTCTTTGTAAGCTGAAACATGAAGATTTAGTAAGAACTATTAGTTCATTACTGTATGTTAAGTGTTGGTGTTTTTCCCTCATGATTCCGTCTATCATCTAGCTCCAAGTTGGATTCGGAATTCTTAAATTTCACGGAAATGCTATTGCTTATGCAGTCACTTTCAATGCTTGTGCTTTCGTTGGCGCTTTCATGGAGCCCCCTTGCACCGTACTCTGGCACGCTGGCTGTCCTTGGAACAGTTTCGTAAGTCTTTCTGTGCCATGAAAACTTCTGCATCATTGATTGTGAGCTTTTTGCTTCTGAATGTAATGTCAGTCTCATACCAGTGGCACTAAATGTGAGAACTTCATGATTTCAGATACATTTTGTCCTTCTCCCTTGGTGCTGGACCAGTGCCTGGCCTTCTGTTGCCCGAGATCTTCGGTGCTCGCATCCGTGCTAAGGCCGTTGCTCTTTCTCTCGGTGTCCACTGGGTAAGTAGACTCTGCTAAATCTTGGCTATTCATCTACTTTGATCTTGCATTGGAAGTTCGGAAAGCATACCATGTGAACTTTATCCTGTAGGTGGCAGGCTGTTCATTTAGTTCAGGCCTCGTGTAATGTGTTATTTGGAGTAATGACTTCTCCATTTCCTGAAGTCATTGAACTGATTCTGATGCGATGGTGGTCTGGCACAGATTTGTAACTTCATGATTGGACTATTTTTCTTGAACGTCGTTCAGAAGTTCGGTGTTAGCACAGTATATCTCTTCTTCTCTGCAGTATGCGCGGCAGCAATTGCCTATGTAGGCGGTAATGTGGTAGAAACAAAGGGGCGGTCACTGGAGGACATCGAACGCGAGCTTAGCCCTGCTGTATAGTAGCATCAGTCGAAACCATCACTTTTTTCTGAAAGTGCAATGCAGTGGCTGTTGGTGTGGAAAAGTCTCTCCCGAACGGGTGTCTGACATGAGCTGCATGAATCGTTGACGACTCGGTGTCTAGAGTCGGTCTGCGCCTTCTACGCAACGCTGAAGTGAATTGAAGAGAATTACTGATTGAGTAGTGTGTATTATCCTCGAAGGCCAGGAGTGTTTTGCGCAACCTTCGGTGTCACTGTTGAGGACGATGCTGACACTCAACATGGTTAGGTTTGAGCATTATGGTTGTAATTAGGTGACACATTAGACATTAGGGTGATGGATACGGTGTTGCAGTTAGAGTGTCAGAAGTTCGATTCAGGAGCAGGCTTTCGTGCATGTTTGGTTACTTAAATGGTTGTGTAAATTACTGCAAATCGCTACGTTGCCGGATATTTCTTTGAAGTAAACGGCCGCTTTTTTGTAACAAAATTCCCTTTTGCTCTTTGCTTTCTCATCTTCTTGCTTCGTCGTTGATAATAACCCCTTGAATTTCATGAACGAAGTCAAAATTGAGTTTCTCCAGGGTTATGCCTGGATTGAATTTCCACGACGGTGTGGGTTATTATCAACACAGCACACAAGTGGAGGAATTCTCCATTCCTCCCTATATTCAGATTGATTCTACCCCAAGGTGAAGTGCCTGTGGTGATTCAGCCGCTCGAAACGCTGCACAAATCCGGCTCACAATGTCGCCTGCGCAATGTCACTCAACGCACCACATACAAACATGTAACTTTTGCATTTACAATGATTCCTCCACTTGTGTGCTGTGGCACACACATGCGCAAAGCCGATAATAAGTTCAATGATGCTCTAGGACACGCCTTCAAACTGTCTTTCACGATGCTGGATCATAATTTACACTGATTGCTGAACAAGACCAAGTCACATAACAGTCCAATATCAATGTATGACGCAGAATCTATGTAATGGAGACTCTGCAACTTTTCTCTGAAGCGAGCCGAACAAGCGGTGAAAATAAGATAAAAACCTAAAAATACCAGTGCACAACCTAATTAGATGTGAAACTTCACAATGTCAGACCCATCGAGTTGCGGGAAGGTTCGAAATCGCCTGATTTGGAAGTTTGCATCGGCAACACGGTCGTTGAAGGCTGTGGAAACCCATTCAGAGCACGCCGTATGTGCCGACACTTGATATGCAAGTAACTCTTCAAAATTCTCGCACACAATTGTTCTGTGCGTCTGAGTTTGGAGTGCAGTTAGCACAAGGGCGAGGCTTTAAGGAAGAGTTAAGGCTTGACTACTGTCTTCAGCCTTATTTTGCAATGGTTTGGTCGGTGTGGCATGTGAGACAGCTAGACACTTTGTAAGAAGAAGAGAACCTTACCAACCAGGGGGGATTGGTTTCTCTGCAAACCCTGGGATTTGTCGACCGACCTTGGTTTTGATCACTACTACGTCTTGACTATGTTGAAGATTTTCTTCGTTTATGCTTGGGCTTGTAGCGGAGTGTTGTGGCACAAATCGACAGGCTTAAGGGTTTTGGGAGGATTTATTTCCAGAATGTGTATTTTATTCGGGCTGACGTCGATGTTTAGGTGAGGAATTGCCAATTCTGTGCTCAAAATTTGCTGGCTTCGAAGTTTGGCTACTTTGAGTAATGGTTGAGAATTGGTGGGCGGCCGCATGTTGATCAATGACGGGTTCTTCCGTATAGTCGGACGACTTTCAGAAAATGCTACTTGCGAGATTCTGCATAGACTTTTGTTTTCCGATGCCTGTAGTTGTTGAGTTGACCAAGTGGGGGGCAAGGTGTCCCTCGGGTTCTGCTACTTTTGCTATGGATCATTAGCTTTAGCTGCGGAGGGTAATTTCAACGAAAATTTTGCACCGAAAATTTCTGCAGCCGAAGCGGCTACGAATCGCAGATTTGGTGTACTTGGGAAGGTACTATCGTCCACTGATACGATGGTTTGAATTCGCTAGGTTCTGATGGTGATTGTGGTGGCAATTGCAGTTGTTACCTTGTGACCTAATTCGTGCCTCTAGCTTACAAATGCTTCTCAATTAGTTAATCTCATATTTCATATGAGTATCTTTCCATCTCTTGGACCGGCTCACCATTACATACTGACACACTTTGGAAACTGTTTTGAAACAAGTGTTTTGGAGCCTGAGGTTTGCGCGCCTGAATTTGAAGTCTGAGGTGTTTGGATGTTTTTTGTGCTGTTAATATTTTGTATATAATCCAAGTTTACAAGCACCGAGCTCACAAAGGTGAGCGTGTTCGAGACATTTAACACCTTCACTTATGGGATGCTGCACAGGGAACAGCGAAATAATGTTTCTTGTTCTCATTTTCACGCTCTCAATTGTGTACATGGTATATGCGCACTTTAATAGCTCGGTTTGTTTTGCAACACTGGAGAATATTTGTAAATCAGAAGGTTGTGGATCTGTTCGAGTTCTACCGACAGTGTACAGAAAATTTGTGCTCTTTTCAATTATAATGTCAACTGATGTTGTGATGCTTGTTTTAAATCTTATTCAATTCATCTTATGTTGATGCCAAGAACTCATATGGTGAACTAACCTAGTAGATCACGTGGTTTTGTGCTTGCCATGTATACGTACAGGATGGAACACGACTGTGACGAAGGATTGGATCTGTTGAGCATCCACCCACATCAAGATATAGTCTCGAATGTAGTCATTGAGGAAGCAGGTTCCTCAAGTTTGGTTAGAGCTGGAAATCTGCGAGAAGATAATCACAGATTGAAGGTGAGTGATGTTTAGTTAGACATTCGTCAGCAATCGCCAATCCAAGGAGGATCAATTCAAGCGTTCGTTTAGTAATGCAAAATTTTATCTTTGTGTGCAGGCACGCAGGAGCTCCGAATTCTCCAGGTTGTGGACAACCAAAGAGAATTTATATTCAGATTCAGATGAACTGACCACGAGCGGTGCGATCGATCGTTTATATCCAAAATCCTGCTCATCCTCAAGACGGTCTGTTACGGATGGAATGTGTTACTCGAGGATCGTGCGAACGGACAACTTCATCCCGGGGAAAGATATCTTTGAGGACTGGGCTCGTAGCATAAACGTCTCCGAGGACGGCACACTCTACGTCATAGCTTACAAGTCCACGAGACAAATTATAAACGTATCAGTGTACACGAGCAACGAAAATTTTGCAACTTTTGCGTACTTGGACTATCCGCAAAGCACGTATGAGCTCATTCTCGGCGTGGAGGAAGCTGGCTGCAACGACATGCTATTCATTGGAGCTAGACCAGCCGGTGCAGATTTCTTTGAAGGAGCCACCTCCATCATTGCATGGCGAGACAAGAAGTTCCTGTGTGTGATAGTCAGTCCAACACCCAACGCCATGCGCTACTACACCAATATATCGGAGGCTTCCTCTGGGTTTTTATATTTCGGCTGCAGCGATGGTACAATTGAAGTCTGGAAACCTCACCATACTCCCAACCAGGGATACGTTTTCGTCTCCCACTTGAATGGCCACCGTGCTCCAGTTCACAAGCTCGTGGTTGATAAGTTCGACACATTGTACAGCGTTGATGTCGGGGACGAAAGCCACATCCGAGTGTGGCGAAACTTTGTGCACGTAGCCACTGTGAACTTGGGTTGCGAGAGCGTACAAACGATTGCTTGTACCTCAGAAGGGAGATTATATGTGTCAACTAAGAGTGGAGAAATCATGTGGCGTGGCATGGTCGACCTTTTGCCTGATGCCAACCAAGTACCGGGACCTTCAAAAGCTTCACACGGCACTGCCACTAACACTGGTGGTGAAGATGCATTGCGAGGGACGAGCTTGCATCTGAAACAAATCAGTTCCCCAATGAGCTCTTGCTGTAAGTTCAGTTTCGAAGCTCGTGTTGCAACCGCAGCTGTGGTGCATGAGATGGCCAAGAATTCGGGTGTAGATGGGGGTGGTAATGGTCCCGTGATGCTTGGTTCTGAGATCCTGCGGCCATTGTACCGGCCCGAGGGGTATATCATCACCAACACATGTGGGTGCACCATATTGCCTGGATCGGAGGTGATGATTATGGTGACAACGGAGGAGACGTTCTCCATCCAGGCATGGTATGGAAATGTGTGCATTGCGAAGCTCAACACTGGTCTCAAGTTTAATCAGTTCCAAACCCTGGATTGCGCTAAAGATGGTACGCTTTATGGCTTAGTGAATGATAACATTTACATTTGGAAGCTGGTTTGATAATGTACTGGAGCAGTTGGTTACTGAGTACCCATGACAATTTTATTTGACTGTAAAGTGAATAAAGCTACTCCATGAGGATGGTACCTTGGAATACTTTTGTCTCTTTGAGAGTTACGTGGAATGATATTGTTTCACTTGAACCTACTTTTGTATTGAAAAGTATGATTTTCAATGACTTGATTTAGTCTTTTTTTGTTGCTGCACAATATCTAGTATGCACGGGAAGAATTGGTCTGGTCAATGTTAAGATTCCCACAATTCAGATGTGTTGCATTTTCCACAAATAAACAGTACAGAGAATGATCACTACCTTTTGCCCTGTTTAATGTTGCACCCTTGGTAAACACATGTAATGTTTTTAACATGGAGGTGCAGTAACTAACATGATATAGCATTTGAGGTTAAGTATTTCATTACAGAGATAACTTGAATTTTAAGAAATTAAAAACTAAGTTATTAATAAAAAGAAGGTAGTGATTATTCTCTTGGAATGATTGAAATTGAAATTGATCATAGTTGAAATATTAGCACGTTGTAGGTTGGCCGTGCATGCAGATACACTGTTCTGAAAAGTTTCAAAAGTAATAACTGTAAAGGGATTTTTCTTTTTCATTTTCTTATTTCAAAAGAACAGCTTTTGTGATTTTCGGATTTGTACAAACTTCGAATTTTTGGCATGTACAAATGTTAAACTTAGACAAGGCTTGCCTTGAAGATGTTCCACTTAGTGTTTATATTTATTTGCTTGTTCAAGTTTGCTGTATCTGCAATGTCTGTAGCTTCTCATTACCCCTTTTCTCATTTGTAAATTAGATTCTTATGCAATTTTATATTTGAAATAAATAAAGACCCAACAATGAATCATTGTCATGATGGTGACAGTCCGATTAAACTTTGGTATCACAGTTGAATTGTTAGTGGTACCCCATCACATTGAGCAAAGCATGATTCGGTGTACCCCAGTACAATTTACGTTCTCGTCATTGAATGCTTCATTTGGGTTCGTCCTTGCCATTTCAGTTTCCATTTTATCCCCAGAATTTGTGTCAGCATCATTAAAATATCTCAGTCCTTACAAGAGAGACTCAACAGTGATATCACACGTGGAATTGCTGGGAAGAAATAATCGTAATCATCGCCCATGCAATTATCTTCTTCCTTTACCGAAAGCGAACAAGCATAGACCTAAAAAACCTAACCCTAACCCACATTCGTCAACCAATTCATGTAAGCAAGCATGGGATATTAACTAAAGATTGATTGGGATTATGTAACAAGACCGATAATCATCCTGCTGCCATGTCCTGGTCAGTTGTGTCGCTTCCTGCCATAAGTTTTTGGTATTTGCTCTGAATAGTCTCGATTTACTTTCAGAAAGGCCTCCAGTCTCGGCAGAAAAAAGCATTGTCACCTTTTATGAACTTTTCTAGTGAACGTCGATCTAAGATATAATTGTCAGACGATGCGGAGAACACTTTTTCCCTTCCAAGTTCTTGTAAAACCTTCCTACATTCCAAGACATGGCAAGCACAGGAAGCCAGGAGATTCGAGCACAGATTCATTCGATTCATACATTCAAAAGCACCATTCAAAGAGAGAAAGTGCTTGCCAAAACAGATCCCTACAGTAGGAATTTGCTGCATATCACCATGTATTTTGCACAACCCACTCGCTTCAAACACCTAATTTCTGTTTTATCTTTATGTCTGTCTCTTTAGATTCGAAGTCCTGAACTTAGAGTACAAACTAATATACAAAATTTGACTATCAAAAATGTACATCTAATCCCCTGCCTACATACTTCAACTGAAAAGACTTCAAACCAGCTTTAATCACTTTCGTGATCAGGCCTCTGTGTGAACCATGCAGGGGAGCGACCATTATGTCGAAGCATGCGTGTGAAGTCGGACTCGGGCAACAACCCTGATTCATCTGCAACCGAATCCTGCGGAGGTAGGCCTCCATCTTCAGGGAACACAGGCTTCTCTGCTGTCGGAGTAACTGGCTCAACTGGCTTTGGGTGTTTTTTAGCGGCTTTGGCCACCATAAGGACGTTGTCTATCAATCCTTTCACGCCACCTAAGACCTCACCAACAAGCTTCGATAAGGATGCTATACCCACTCCATGATCATTCCAGCACATCACAAACAACATGAATGCTTTAGAGAGCTTTTTAAGCGACATGTACCTGATTGTCTGACTAGGTTTTCAAATCGCTCCAAAGGACGGCACGCGGTTGAGCGATCGTCACCAGTTGCCAGATCACACTCAACCTGACACTCTTCCTACAAAAGTAAAATAATGCTCTTCGATCAGCGAATTGTGAATCGAGCAGGAAAATGGTTGGAATACAACATTCATTGAACAAATCAGTTTTCCAAATTCAAACAAGCCTCCACTACGTTTAGATCCTAAATCTGAGCCATGTTCAGTGATTCATTGAACTCCTAGACATGTCGAAGCCTCATAGTCGAGTGCACCTCCTCTTTGAATATTTGGCCTTAAACCATGAGCGAAATCCTAGAATGTATACACCATAACCATGTCTCATAAATGCGGCGCAATAAGAGATTCACGAGCTTGTTGCAGAATAGACATACAGACACAAGAATAGGATATATACCTTGATGTTCTCAAACTCGAAGAGCGCCTCCCAGCAACGAAAAGCCTCATCGCCTTCAAGGAGCGTGCACTTATCTGCAACCCAAACGCAACATGGCCCTACTGTCAGTTGGCTGTCGTACCATCCAAATCTAAATTGCCAATTTTTGAGTTCATGTTCAAAATGGAGAAGATTCTCCAGTGACTATGAAATACTTTTCGATTTCTGCGCAAATATTCTAATAGCATGAAAGTCGTGACACAACCTTTGACAATTAGATTGAAATCATTTAGAAATCTATTACGAATATTGCAGATGAGATGGAATTGATACCTGCAAGCGCATGCTCTGCTTTCTCGAGAAGAGAGTGCTCACGCACGAGACGGCTGATACGGCTTTGATTGAATGGCTGCGTTTTCGGCACGTCATTGCTGCTGCTGTTGTGCGGCACGGGTTCTGATGCCATAGAAGTTGCCATGGCTCTGCCGCTGCAGCCGGGACTCATTAACCGCAACTTGCTGTTCGGGCATGCTGTTTGGAATTTCTGTGCTCGAGCCTGAGGGACCGTGGCGTGCAAAGATGCGCTGGCGAGAGGTGTCAACAGTCCAACTAACGCCATCTTTGCTCTTCCTGCACCGCAAGCGTATCAAACTGCCTCGCTCCCGGATCTGTTGGCTAATTCGGTGGATGAAATGATCGTGACGTATGAAACCGGCCGGAACTGTTAAGCAAGCTCTGAAGAATGGTTTTCCGATCTTCTGATTTGACAGAAATATGTATTTCGCAGGGATGAGGTCGACAAACTGAGTTTTAATTAAAAATACCTGTACGTCTAATTCAACACAAACATATTATAAGTAACCTAACTACTAGGTTTGATACCCAACCTCAGCGACAAGCCCCTACGATAAGCATAATCCTATCTCGCAAGAAAACTCCATTTGGTCGGCCTCAGAAATGTCTTGAAAGCATGGGACGAACCAAAATAGTGATTACGCAGACAACGTGAGAGAAGTATAGACAATGTTAGAGGAGATCAACAGACATTACACACGATCAATCACACGAACTTCGCATCGCAATTGGTAGCTACAAACTCCAATTATTCTACGCTCCAACACACCCACAACACAAGAAATCGATGCTTGCCTGCACTAACTACCCCAACAGCGCACACCCACAGAATACGCCATTCCTCAAATTCCAAAGCTTCACCGTCAAATGTTTCTTTCACAAAATCCTCAAACTCAAAATCCACAAACGCGCTGAACCGAAACTAGTAGGGCTATCACAGATCCACCCTCCAAGTTCAAACAATCATGTCAGTATCAATCGATGATGACCGGAAAGTATAAGTACCAACAGCTCTTCAACTCCACCATGTCAGGTGGGTGAAAACAAAATTGATCTTATCAAAGCCCCATCTGAGTCAGCGAGACACGGCCCACTTGACAAATCGGGGGGCTTGTGAAAAGCTGACGTGGGTCAAGTGCGTGAACACTTGCGAACCACGGCAGCTTGTCTCCCTTATCCTGTATGCAAAAATCCCCGATCTCGTTGGACATTTCTAAATTTAAACGACCCACAGTGCGGGATTCTTTATCTTCTGTTCGATTGACGGAGAGCGTGCTTTTACATCTAGCCGTCTCTTTTTTTGCCTGCTTGCTTGATGTCTTCCTTTCCATCTTAGCTCCCTTTTCTTTTCCATCTTCGCCACCTTTCTCTTTCCATCTTCAAGTGGACAATCCCTTGCATCCCTTTCTGCATGATAGTCAGAACTTTACTTAGATATTTTCTAGTGCTCGCAAGGATGAAGGGGTTTGGGCGGGTGCATGTAAGCCTATAATGTTTGTTCATCTAGTTAGTGAACTGTGCATGTTTCTGCAAATATTGGGCTGCTTTTTCTTCGCACTCTTGCTGCGATAAGTTTATATCTGTATTTGATTACAAAAATCAGTCAGCATTGATGCTTAAGAGATGCTTAGCGTTGCTCATCAGTCAGGTCTAATTGTTCCTGGCCGTGGCCTTTTTGCTGCAACTCTTGTAAGCTTAGAGTACTGCTTTCGTGCCTATTGTATTCTTCGTTCACGAAGGATCATCTGAAACAAGCACTAGTCGTGGAGATTTAGGATTCCACGACGTTTTTCTCTTCGATCCATGGTGAATGGTACCATTGTATTTATCTACAGGAAAGTTTTAGCTTGTCTCTATGGTCTTTCTTACAGAGCGGAATCTATCAGATCTAGTCTGTCACTCGTGAAAGTTTACTTGTCCGTGGTTTGCATGACCCACGTCAAAGCTTCTTCAGCTATGGATGCAGGCACAGTATGACCCCCGTCGAACTCCTTGTATGTCACTCTATACTTGTGCTCCAGAAGTTTCGGCACCAATCTTCGGCTGCAATTTCCAATATGCAGCACCGAATCCCGTTTCCCATGGGAAACATAGATGAGTGGCGCATCTTCGTATCGCTGCACTCGTATGAAGCCTGAGCACAGTACAGGAACAAAGCTCCAAAGGTTAGGGTTCAGTAGATAGAGCAAAGTTCTGACTCCTTGTAGTGCGTTTGGTATAACTGTGTATACAATCTCAACAGATTTGCATGCTGCATGAGGTAAACTACCTGGAGAGAAGCCGATAATGTGCGTGAAAAAAAAGCCGTTGCACACACCCAGAGAGATGGAGTATGAGGCACCATCGGAGAATCCGGCTATGCACAAGTGCTTGGGATCCACAGTGTACTCGTGGAACACCTTTGTCAGACATCTACATATATCGAGTTTACACACGTTCAGCGACCTTCATCGGGCTAGCGACAACTGAAATCGAATTCATACATACTACAACGACTAATTCCAGCGGCGGCAGAGACAAGTTAGCTGATGCGGACGCTGGTATTAGGAAGTTTGATTACAGTGAGCACCTCCTGGTTAATGAATTCGACGTCTGGACCGTATCGGTCAAGAATCATGTCCCATGTGCGTCCGCGTGACTCCGGCGCAATCAAGATGAGGCCATGAACGTCCGCAAAATCGCTAATGAGTTGGAGAGCACCCTCTGCATGGCCTCCTGCTCCGTGAAGGATCACAACCACCGGCGCTGGCTTTTCCATCGAGTAGCTCTTCGGGATGTACATTAATCCATCTCTCCTGGAACTGCACAATCGAACGACATGTGTATTCTCTGAGGGAATTGCCAAGCCCTGGACACAACATCCTGAATTTGCAAACCAAAATGAACAGAACTCAATATGCAGCTTCTCTAATTAAGGAATCAAAGTGGACTAACCCTGAAACATGGAGAGGAACTACGCCTCTCATAGGTTGAGCAATGCAGCCCCGTTGTTCTGAAGGATTTAGTGGTTTAGCCAGCAGTCTCGCCATACTTGCTGCCTTCCGTGCCTGCTCATCTGCTGCGCCAGTAGTGTCCATGTCCACTGGTGTTGAGCTTCTAGTGCTGAACCTGACGCCTCTGGACTGTGAACACAGAAACCACATCATCAACACAAATGACGCATCGATCCCCACAAAATTGACAAAATGCAGCAATTGAATCATTAAGTACGTGAATAAACCATGCCTATATAAACAAAACATATGAATATATATATATATATATATATTCTACCTTCGTACCCAGTGCTTCACAAAAGCTGACCCTTTGTTGCTGTGCACACATAGCTCTGCAGAAAGAAGAAAAAGAGCATGGAGTAATCGGCCGCAACGCAATTTCCAGCATGAAACTAGAACTCTACAAGTGCATGGAATCTAGCTGGCCAATCACCCTCGTGACATGGGTGATTCTAAGATAGACTTTCACACTTAATCCTTCCTGTACTTCAATCACAGAGACTTTTGAGACGAAGCATGGCAATCTTCCTATACCATTGACGTGAAGACAAAGCCCCCACAACGATGAACCTGGATGCCATCGGTGAAGGTCGGTTAGTGAGCATGGCCAGCTGAGGTTGAGGTGCGTGCGTGGCGATGCTTGTGTGGGACTTGCATATTTCCACGCTTGGAAACACCACCACATGCGGTCAATGAGGAACATTACACAACACTTACCCAGCAAACAGTTGAAACCATCCACAGGGTCAAAACATGTGTTACGATGCATGTTATAGTTTTGCACATTTCTTAAGGAATGAGAGAAGTCATTAAGTGGGAGTGCAGCAATTGAATCCGTTGTGTGTTCTGTCGTGTTTGCTGCACCGAGTCTGCACCGTCTGAACCACAGCACAAACTGCAAGGAATAAGCTTTTCTAGTACTGATTGAGAGTAGCAACAAAGGAAAAGACATATTATTATTTTATTTTATACTGGTTTTATACTTCCTCCTCACGCTGAAGTCGAGGCACATGTTAAACTCGGGGGCGGAGTAATTCCAATACTTAAAATTTGTAGCATTAGATGGGGACCAAACATGCAAGTCACCAACTCCATTAGCAAAAAAAATTAAAAATTAAAAAAATCCCAATCACAACTTGTATACATGTTTTAGTTATTGCTTTGATACAATACACAACATTAAGTATTGCAAAATTTTGGCAAATGGAAGATGAAAACATAGGCAACTATATATCTGATGTATTATTGCCAATAATCAATTTACTTTTCAAAATCATATTTAATTGAGCCATACATTACAATCAATGCTACAAGATAAAATATACAAGTTGTAGATGAAAGTAGTGACAATTGTAATAAAACATTGGATTAGATCAAACTTTTTGGAAGCAAAGACCATCAAATAGACAATTAGTATGAAAATAGCTCTATTTTTACTACCTATGATGATAAAGAATCAATTAATTGTGCATTTTAAATTTTTTATAAGTTTAACATAAGTTTACATATAAAAATTAATTGGACCAAATCTCTAGCTTACTAGAAAGCAAGAAAACCCATGTTTTTGCTAAACTAAAGGATTTGTTAGAAGTTGGCTAAAGAGAATCAAGCCAATAAATCATTAGATACACTATTTGGTATTTTTTTAGAAATTTTAAATACATTTTAGTTTATCATCAATATTATTAATATAAAAAAAATAAAAGAAACAAAAGAAATTGATAGTGTTTTATTGAACTAAATATGGATAGTCACACCAAAATATAAACAATTATTTTTTATGCAGTTTTTATTGTTTTATTCAATTGAAAATCATTAGAAATATTAAATCAATTAATTGCAATTTTCAATTGAATAAAACTTAAGTAGTAGTAACATCAAAGTTGCATGGAATTTATGTTACAATGTCAAACTAAGCAAGGCCTAGGAATAATTTATCCAAAAGAAGTTATTGTAGCTTTAATAACAAAATGGAATATTAAGTTCTATGACTTGGAGATGTCAACATGAAAATCTCTAGCAAAAAAAACAAAAAAAAACAAAACAAAAAACAAAACAAAAAAAGAACCAAAGTAAACTTGATTGTATAATTCTTTAGATAATACACTTCTAGTATTCTAACTTCATGATCCTAAATTGATAATACAAAAAATTATATATTTCATATACTTGTATGTTGTAAAGTGGACATTTTTCATCTAAGAGCTTGATTCAGAGTGTTATAATTGAACAATGTTGAATCTAAAAAACTTATAAGACAAACAATGGCAAGTCAAACATTACATCTAATCATAAGGAATTATACTTGGTAAATTTTTATGGTAAATATTTTAAAAGAAAATAAACAAATTTTTATGGATATAAAGTTATAGTGTTGGCTCATAAAAATTAAAAAATATTAAAAAATATTTAATAAACAAATGATAGTTAGGAGAAGAGATATACAACAAAAATAGGAAAAAATATATTAAAATATTTTTATTGTTGTGAAACTTGGCAACATCAAATAAAGAATATTGGATTTTAACTTCACTTTTAACTAAAAGAATATCTAGTTCAAAGTTAGAATTCCAAAAGAGGCCAAGTTATTGCATTTAATATGGCATAAAAGTGTGACAATTAATAAACATTTGATAAAAATTAAGAATATCTTGTTAAAAAATTGCCCACTATGTTATCATCAAGCAACTAAATTAGTAATGTATAAATTTTGGAAACACTCTTTACTTAGTAAAATATAGATTGTTCCTACATTACTTCTAAACAAACTAGTATCTAGTCCAAAATGATTGGGGGCTATGGAAAACATTCTTGTAGAAACAAGCTTTATTTGCAAAAAGTAAACTCACTCTGTGCCATTTTTAGAACCACATTCTCCCTACAAACAAGACAACTATGTTTAGTCAATTTGGATTTTAGAAAATGTTGAAACTAATAAAGATGGATCTTTTTATTTGTGAATATATAAGGCAATTGATGTAGACAAGGTTTTTAAACATGGAGGGTCACTGATTAAAAATAATAGTATTCTAAAAGAAACTAAATATAGAAACACTTTTATCAATAATCAGAATAATTTATAGATTACTAGAAAATATTATATAAATCAAGATGGGAATAATATTCAATGACAAAACAGAGTCTCACAAAGCAACTTGAGTAAGTAAAGCGTGCAGTAGGTAATAATTAATTCCTCTTGTATCTACTCTTTGATAAGAATAACATGACAACCTAAATTGTTATCCCTCAAATCTTTAACCAATGTAACAGATTCACCCCATGTATGTCAAACTAAAACAGAAATGATCAATCAAGAAGTCGTCAAGGACCACAAAGAGACAGTGTGTGCCGTTTGCATCCCCAAGAAGAGCCTGAATTTCAACTGCAACCCTTGATCTGGTAACCTCAAAAGCATGTATATCTCATCAAAGAAAATTAGCTTGTATTACAGAAGAATTAATTGGTGCTTCCAAGCCCCAAATTATCAAAATAGCAGGTTTAGAAATATGTCCAGTTCAGAAAATTCTATGACATATACGAGATTGAAACATTTAAATATTCCCAACGCATAGAACGACCGACTTTTTGTCTGCATAAAAGATATTAGAAAATGGGGACTAAAATTGGATGCTCTAATTAATCCTCAATCAACATATTATTGAGAGACGCGTACTTTGGAGTCCTGTGAAAACTATGGATAGGGATGAACGGTATAGAAGAGTAGAATAATAATCAGATCGATCCAATCCCATTGTGCTATAATAGGTGCTTACTGCACACCTCGAAGGAAATCGCTTACAAAGTGTGCGACTTGCTATGAATCATGAGGAATCGTCACCCTGGAGCCACACATTTGGGGAAACATACGTATAACCCTGAAAAAAGTCATGATCAGTAGTCTTCGGAGTCCCGGCTGGAGAATCGTCGATGGGCAACATTGTCCACATCTCATCAAAGTTCGCAGTGCACTGCTTGCCATTCACGGCAGGAACAAACTTTGGCGTAACTTCGCGCATTTCAAGCTTGCGCCAATTGATATTTTTGAACCACTTGTGCTGCTTTACGTCCCTACTCCCAGTGGGGCCATTTCCAAGTCGTTTACTTGGATCTTTCTGCAGCAGCTGCACATACATCCCAAAATATAAAAATACACTACAGAAGCCAAAAGATATCCAAAAGCCAGACGGCACAACGCATAGCCTTGTGAGAATGGCCTGAACCGCATGACACTACAATCTCATGAAATAATGCCGTTGTCTCAAAACATATGTGCTTACCCCTTTCAGGAGGTTGTTTGCATCCGCAGTCAAGTATGTTGGTAACTTGATTTTGTCTTTGATGACCTTCTGCTGCAGCTTCTGCTTGTTTTTTTGCGTAAAAGGAGGCTGCATCCGCCCATTCCCGATTGCACATTTATGTCTAGTAGTTATACAGTGTAGATTCCTAGATGCCTAACGAAGAATAAATTCGAAAAAATAATAATTAAAAAACAGTCGTAGCCTTAAATATCCAATCCTCACCTGACCAGTGAGCATCTCATAAAGTAGGATGCCGACACTCCACCAATCAGCTGCTTTACCATGCCCTTTTGAAAGAATAATCTCAGGTGCCATGTATTCTATAGTCCCACAGAGTGAATTTGAGTGACTGTCTTCCTTCACCTCCTTAGCTAGTCCAAAGTCAGTGAGCATAACCTGGAAGACAAATCAATTAGGTGCTTTAGTGAACGCCACACTATGTATTTTTTGTCTTACCTAGTTTCAAATTCACTTCCATGGTTTTTGGACCTTAATAAATTCCAACTTACACCGTGAGCAACTCAAAAGTGCCAGGATATGAACAAAAAACTAAATTAAAAAATCCCATTCACAAAACGGATGAGAGAAACGAGTGATTGTACATGTCACATTCACACATAATCATCCATTCACTCAAAAGATAAAACTTTTCATGAGCTGCACCGAAAAGTATAGACAAGTATGGAATTGTGACTAATCACATACATGACCATCAGCATCTAGAAGGATGTTCTCAGGTTTCAAGTCCCGATGAATGATTCCATTCTCATGAAGGTGTGCAACAGCCAGCACTATCTCCGCAGTGTACATGCGTGCCAAATCCTCGCTGAATATTAAACCACCTCGTGAGTTCAAATTAGAAATGTTCTTCATTACTCAGAAGATCAGATACTTTCATGTCACTAATATACTGAAATAGTACTTAAATGATGACTTAAACGATAACCCAAAAACATGGATTACCAAAGAGTGGTGAAACAAACAATAACTGGCACATGAACAAATATGAAGCAACTAATGAACCACTGAAGTTACGTTGCGCTCCTTACACTGCTACAAAACCACCTCAAGAATGCATGAACTACTAACAAACGTAACATCTTACCAACACAGCAGCAATTTAGCTTTACGAAAGAACATCAATGACATTTCCACGCACAAAAATTTCACAAAAGTTACAGTCAGCTGACCAGTCGGACACTCACTTGAAGGTTCCTTGACGAAAAAGCTGGAAAAAAAGATGTCCACCGTTAATAAAGTCAAGGACCAAGTAGAGCTTGGACTTTGTCTGCACTCAAGGAAAAGAATTAGCACGTTAGTCCAATTCCTTTGAATATGATGCCGTATGTGATGTTGTAATGCCACAAATTGCAGCCCCCATTTCACATGTATCGAATACATCCACCTAACGCATGTTATGCAGAAAAGGAAGAAAGAAAACAACAACAAAAATATAAAATAAATAGAAAATCCTGGTATGAGAGTGGACTGTTTCAAGAAAGGTTAAGATAGAACAAGATCAGAGCATCAAAGAAATTATGATAGAAATTGCAGACCTGAAAAGAGTATTGCAGCTGCACGATGAAGGGATGAACCACCTTGGTGAGAATGTCTCTTTCTGCCTTCATGTAGTCCCCGTGGTTTCGCTCAATTATCTTTTCCTTTCTCATAACCTTCATAGCGTAGATTTCCGAAGTGCCCTTCTTTTGAACCTGAAAAACTTTACCAAATGCGCCTTGACCAACGACTCTCAGGAGCTCAAAATCCTGAGGACCTAATTTCTCCACTCCATTACCTTTCTCAAGCTCCTTCGGTAAATGCTCATCACATTCTCGTTCACTGCCACTGTCCCCGGAATCACTAAGCGCTAGCCCCGTCATCTTAGAAGTCAATGAACCAACAGTGGACAAGGAAATGGCCTCCTCAATAGCTGATGAGGAGCCCTGCTCATCACAGGCAGATTTGTTGTGTGATCTGGTTAAGCTGAGCTTTGGAGATGGTCCAACGAGAGAGTGCGATCGAGAGTATACGACCACAGGATCTTGCAGTAGCTCAGGGCCCCATTCAATTGTGTCTACATCCTCAGCAACAACGAGCAGCGGGGGAGTATTATGAGGCTGTACATGGCCAAAGACGTCAGAAAAATCGTACTCTTCATTCAATTGGTCAGGATAATATGGGGTTTGCACCGTCGGTAGAGAAAGTGGAGAAACTTCTGGCGCTGCAGGTAATTTACTTTTGGAGGTGGCCATATTTCTGTTAAGAAGATGTCAAATACGATATTGTAAATACTCGGCAAAACTAGAAACTCAAACTGAGGTGGAAAAAAGTAGACTGGAGGATCAAGGGACTCAGCTGCGATGGCTCGATGGTTACTAGAGTTGATCCTAGGAACTTTATATACTCCAATCTGCCGAGACTAATTAATACTACCATGGGTATTATTTCATGCAATTGCTTCAGGTTCAATGTAAAGAATCAGAGATGTAAGTCAAATATTAGCGCGATCTTTTTCTAGTGTCCCTCTTTATTTTTCATTGCAACCTCCAAATATCATTTCCGTCTAAGCTCAAAAAGTAAAATGACCATGTCCATTCTAAATACCTATAGTTAGAAATACTAGAATGATATTAAGAGAGACAAATCAAATTCGCCTACATAGCCCGACTGAAGTAGTAGTTTACTCGCGGTAAGCTCATTCATTAAAAAAACTGAATTTTGCTGCCACTTTGCATGTATTTCTGTTGTACTAAACATTTTTCTCAAACTTACATCGAATCTCGTGTATCGAATCACGTCAAGCATTTAAAAAATTCCATTCACACTATGTTCTCCGCTTGGTCCACACAAAGCCACCAATTAAATCGATTTTGGCCCATTTTTAACCCAATGAAAGGAGTTTAGCTGTGGGCAATGCTTTTAAGCAAATTTTCCGCTAGAGAGAGAGAGGGACTAAATCAAGCATGTGGCACGCCCAAGGTACGTTGAGGAATTCATCAAATGACTGCGCTAGAACCAAAAATATTTGCTGAAACCAAATACCCCATGGTTTGCTCATCGCGACTGAAAAAGACTGCACCCAAAACCAGACGAGCAGGAGTAAATGATGTGCGAAACTAACCTGAAACCAGTAGTAAGCGTCATTGCGAAGAAGGAGACGACAACCTGTTAACAGCACTCGATAAGCCTGCCAAATACGGACACAGAATTTGCAGGGGACACTTTCTAAGCGGGAAGTAGTAATAGAACACAGCACGTCCGAGGACGGCCACGAGAAGGCCCAGGGTTACATCGTGCTAGCTATGGCCACCGTATACACTTGGTCAGTGCCGTCGTCGGCAATTAAGTTCTTGCTCCAAACACAAACCAAAATTTAGACTATCGAGTCTCTTTACATCGAGTTCGTCGAGATACGTTTCACCGCCCTAAAACAGTTGCAAAGTATCGAATCCAGATCAGTACGACACTCCCCCGGTGCACAAGTTTCATGACATTGGATATAACATAAAATTTCTTCGTCTCTTGTAAAAAAAAACTATAAGTAATCAAAACACAAGCACACACACACACACACAAACAGGAGCATACGAGATTTACAGAACGTTCTATCAAGCCCAAACAAGAAAGTCACATTAAAACCCTAATGTAGGGTGACATCGACAATCACTCTTCGAGACACGCTCTCCCCCCCCCCCCCCCCCCCCTCTCATGCACAAAATGAAACAGAGGGGTACCAGAAACCGAGACGCTCCACGGACAATATCAACAAGGATAGATAGATTGCTTTCCCCTTCTCACTCACTCCAACAAATCAAACAATAACCCCTGAAATCACTTACTCTCCAATGAGCGATACTGCATCGTAAGGGGAGCCTCAGCATTCGAAATGGAGCTGGAGGCACGAGGCGTTCACGGCGTTGCATGAGGGCGAGCGTAACGGGGGCTGTGAAATGCAATTCTGACCACGCAAGCTCCGCTCATCCTTGCAACACACTCTCACTCGCTCCCCTCCTGGCGATGCGAACTGGTCGCGTCGGTCGCGTCCTGACGAAGAAGACGACGACGATCATCGGGCCTCGCATATTCCGAGCGGAATGTGCTGGCCACGGAGGCTACGTCAACTTCCACGTCGGATCTGATCTCCAACGAGGGGTCATCTTTTGCCTTTTGACGCAATTTCCTTTTGACCTCATTTGAATTGAAAGCAAATGAGTTGGTGACACCTTAAAGAACAATTAAAAATAGGTGGAGTTTGAGAAAGTAAATTTGTGGGTGGGTGGGTGAAAGTCGAGCCAAGAATTGTAAAGTTAATGTAAGAATTATCAAAGAATGTAACTTTTTACAAAATATGAGTGAAATGTAAAATAGTTTCTTGGAGAATATTAATTGAAGGCATTAAAGGTGGGTGTAAAAGTCAAAAGCTCCACCTTGAGGTATCTTCCAAATTTATCTTTTTGTAGTTATAGAAATAAATAATTTGTAATAAAAACTGATTGATGAGTATATTGACATTGATAAACAATTATCTTTACTTCAATAAAATTCTAAGTATTAATGAGTTGGTGTGGTTGTTTGCTATAGAAATTTGTATACATCTTTGTTGTTTTTTTGCATTATGTTACATTCTTTTGTTATAGTTCTTTGCTTTTCTCTAATTCTATTGTTTGATCTACTATGTTGTAATCTCTTGTTTAGTTAAATCCTTTGTTTTATTCTTTGCTCTTTGTTCAAATGTATTCTTTGTTCTATTCTACTATTTTAGTCATTTAATATGTTATATTGTATTTTTTGCTCTGATTTTTATGTGTTTTGTGTTCCTTATTCTAGTCCTTTGTTACATTTTGTTGTATTGTGTTTCTTTGCTTAACTTTGTTATAGTTTCTTTATTTTAGTTTTAATCTAATTATGATATTTTTATCATAATAAAGATAAATTTATGATACCTTTAGATAGTGTGTCCAAACTTCATAATTTGTTTTTGTTGATAGAAATACAAACAATGAAATATTTTTTAATGTACCTTTTATTTCTTTTCTACAAATCTTTTATATAATCTTTTTGTAAACAAGGCCACATAGCTTTTAGAAACCTAAAATGTAGAAGACTACTGTTGAACTTTATAATTCTTTGCTCTTTTTCCATCTACAATTTTTAGCTCTACTCTTATGTACACAATATTCACTATCTAATTCTAATGCATTAAAACTATTTTCTTTTTTGCTACTCTATCTATTCTAAATAAGTAATGAATTTTTTGTAAAGTGGATTGTAATAATTCATGTGCACAGTTTTTAATTTAAAAAAAAAAAAAAATTGTTGCACTTTAATTTTCATATTTCTATTGTAATAATCTTTTTCACATCTATTGTGGAAATTTATACCAACTATTATTTTAGCTTGTCATTCAAAAATGCACAATGACTTCAAATTATAATAACAATTTTAAAAATATTTTATAAAGGTTTACTGTTATACTTCTGAAGGTTGTATTTTTAGTATCTTTATATCTTACTTGTGTCACACTAAGTCTATATTTGGATGTAAGAATAAATATTTTGTGCTGAAAAATGGTTTTGATAATAATTTAGTTTGCAATTACTGATAAAATATATGTAAACTTACATTCAAAGCAAAAACATTATCTCTTTATCCTAAACATAACTCTATTGTAGACTTGCATTAGATGTAAATAAACTTTGAGAATGTCTTAAATCCACCTTTTCTTTTAATTTTAGGTACTAATCAACTCCAAATATTTTGCATTAAGACATCTCTTTAATATTTATAAAGACTTTATTTTTAATAAGTTCCAACTTGATAGTCACCATTTACCATTCTAAATTCAATTAGAACTTTGCTCTTCAAATCCATGGACTACTTAGAAAACAAATACAAATACAAATTCTTGTAAGTCAATTAATATTTAGAAATGATTATAATTAATAATATCTAAATTAAATTCATCTGTGCAAAATGTACCATTCAAGTAAGTACTTGTATAAATTTTATTGTATAATAGACAAAATATTTGGAGCTTGACAATGGACAGCAAGACTAAATAAAAAATATATAAAAACAAAACACTTCTTCTTATGGATCTCTTTTGGTAGTCTCACTTGCATGTTTATAAATTTGAATAATTATTCGTAAAATTGCAAATAAATTAAAACATTGCTAGTATCATACTTACATAGTATGTCTAATTGCACTTGAATTACTATTTATTTATTTAATTTTTCCACATAGTAGACTATATGATTTTGTTTTGCATAAGATAATGTATTAAATATTGTTTTTTGAAATTATTCTTAGTGCATGATTATAATGCATGTTATGAGGAATTATGAAGCTGTATTGATGGTATTTTGGTCTTGTTAGCATGATTTTGTCTTATATTCTATATTTCATTGAATATGGCCTCTACTTACAATTGCAAGGGCTAAAAAGTAATATGGGTTTTAAAATTTTTAGTAATGTCATCTATACCATGGAATAATAAATGAAGAATTATTGAAAAGCAATTTTTTTGAAGCTGATTAAGATACATGATATTCTTAATTTATTTTAAAAATAAAGAAATCCAGTTTTCTTATTATTATTTTTTAAATTTATATAAATATGCAGTAATAAATTTTTTGATACACGTTTAATACTCACATTTATAATTTATAAATATTAAAACGTAGATAAGAAAGTAGAATGAATACGTATAAAACATGTAGAAAATTGCATAAAAACATGCAATTCGTGATGTGAAAGTAAATATTGAAATGAAATAATATTAATAAAATTTGAAAGACTTTCATCTTATTCTAAATATTATTTTAAAGGTATTTAATTTTTTTGTGGTAAAAAAACTTTATTACAATGCATTGTTATTGTCATGAAGGTATTTATAAGAAAATAATTCATAAAATACCTATTAATGTTGAAATTTTCAATGTAAATTAGTACTAAAAAATTAAAGAGGTATGCTGTCATTTATCTTTATCATTTTTATTTACTTAATTTAATATTTTTTTGACTAATGCTGTATGCTTGTCATATGATTTATATAGAAACATTTCATAAAAATGATTGTAATGCTATGCAAATCAAAATAATACAATTAAAAGAATTACAGATTTTTTTTTTCACCTACATGATGCTAAGAATACTGATTTTAGATTAATTTTTTTTTTCACCTACATGATGCTAAGAATACTGATTTTAGATTAAATTTTTTTTTGTTATTATGCAAGATATTTTTTAAAAAATAAAACGTCTAAAATTTTTTAAAATATTAGATTTTAAATTCCAAATTTAAGACAGGTTTGTATAATATTCCTTTGTATGTTGATATAAATCAAAAATAAGAAAAAAAAAGCTACAAAATGTTTTTATATGATTTTTTATCAATGATTTGAATTTTTTTTTAAAAGAATTATGTTTTAGATTTGAAGAAAGAGTGTTTAAAGCAATAAGAGATGTACAATCAACTTCCATTGTCACAAACAAATTTGATACATTATTAAATGTAAATAATAATATTTTGGATGCAAATATTTTTGCTGTATAACTTGTTGGTCTTTTTTATTAAATTTAAATAAATATTATTAAAAAATATCTCTATTACTTTGAATTGTAGAAATAAAAAATACTATAAAATTTAAAATTTTACTAAAAATATATTTATTTAATTTTTTTATTATAGATAAAAATATCAAATCTTCTAATAATATGATATTATTAAGTAGATTTTCTAATGGTTGGTATTTAAAATTTTATGTTAAAAAAAAATGAATGTATAAAAAATGAGAAATTTTGTATAAAAAAAATCCTTATAATATGTGTTATTTAATTCATTTTTGATGGTAAGATTCTAATATAAATTCGTATAAAAAAATCTTAAAATTTAAATTACATATTTAGGATAATATTAGATTATGTGAGGTCTACTCTCAACATAGAAAGAGAGAAAGAAAGAGTGAGAAAGAAAAAAAAAGACCTTAAATAGATACAATTACTTAAGTAAAGAGATTCAATTAATAGATACTAAAAAAAGAACTCTTTTCATGTCACTTATAGATAGCTTGATAAGTATATTCTTTCAATATATCAACCTTGGAAATTCATGAGACATACTCAAAAGGATGCTCAATATAAGAGACTAATAGTAGATTATGCTTCTAACAAATAAGCTATATAAAATGATAATAAAAGAAGGGAGTAAAATCAACACTTATTTCATGGAAGCAATAGACATGTCAAACCAATTGGAAGCATTTGGAAAAATCCTTGTAAATTGAACACTCATAAATATTGTCATCAATGGACTATTGTAAAGCTAAAAGATGGTGATTTAAGGCATCTTCTATATGATAGAACTAATGTTAAAAGATGTGATTAATAAACTACTTATTCAAATCCATAGATTAATAATTAGAAAATAGAAATTGAGACATAATGAAGTATTATTAATATATTTTCAATACATTCATCTTAGAAAACATATAAAAAATTAATTTATATAAGAAAGAAGAAGATGAAGAAACTTAGCTTGAAGAATTTTGTAGAATGGATAAAAATTTGTTTTTTTGTAAGATATGGGTAAAGTAGATTGATCACTCTTAGGATTGTCAATTCAATAGATTGGATGATTGAATTAGTTGTAAAAAACGGTTAAGTAGAGAATAATGGTTAGAATTTGGAATTTCAGAAGTAAAGCATAAGTAAGTTGAAGAAGATATTGGAGGGGCCAAATTGTGATAGTCATGAGCTGAGATAAGCTTCGTGCTACCTCTTTGTTTTATTTTTTTTCTTTGTAGTTGAAGAATAATGGATAGTTTCTAAATATTATAAAATGAATCTGTGGAATAAATCAGAGATTGATTTACGAGATATTGAATATGTAATTGAAGTACTGTGTGATTGAATTATTATGAGAAGATATTAGAAGATTATTATCAGATTCTATGAAAGATTGATTTTCAATAGAAGATTATGATTGGTATTAGTTGAGATTTGTGTGAGTTTTGACAGAAGAAGTTTGTGATTA